TAAAGGCAATTTGTGTAAAGACACAAAAAAAAACTATATATAAGCAGCGTTTTTTTTGTTTTTTTGTTCCAGTACTCGAAAGTCTTTGAATACCTCATTTATTGCAGAAAATTATGTGTTTAAAACAGAGAAAGATTTCTATTTCAGAAGCTATTTTCATTTATAATCGATGAACCCTTCCTTTTTTTTTTGATAATGCGATCGGATGACGTATTCGAGAGGCTTTGAATTCTCTCTTTTTTTTTTTTCGTGATTACTATAAAGATTGTTCTTGAAAAAAAAACGCAACAATATTTTTCGACCTTGATGTTGAAGTATTTTGTCTTCATTGACAAGGATAAGAATTATGTACGTTTTCTGCCTGTATATGACGACGTAGTTAACAAACACGTAACTATCATCCGTTTTTCATTTCAATTTCTAAAAATAAAAACAGTTTTTACAGAGATGTTTCGAAACTTTTCATATAGAATCGAAAACAAAAATTATTCTTCTCACTCACTGAAAAAAAATTTCATATTAACTATCATTTGTGGTGGTGAACAAAAGAATTATGTGATCTATCGAACTTTGTTAACTGTCTTTCACTAACACTAAAAACATCAAAGTTTTTTACTCAAATAAAATCTGTCGTGTTAAATCTTCAAGATTTTCTTTTTTGAAAAGTAATTTTCTTTTTTTTTAAATATGATCTTGAGCATGATACATTTAATAAAACAGACAACTGATACAAATTTTATGTTAGATCTTATTAGAAAATTTTTTCATTGAAGTTCACTTTGAAAAAGAGTGTGGTGTGCAAATTTAGTTTTATCATTTTCAATCGAATTTAAATTCTACTTCATCATATGTATTTTAAATTTTGTTATTAGTTTTGTTGGACAAAGACTTTTTTAGAGAACAGAATTAGAGCTAAAAAGTGAATGGTTGACTATTTACGATCAAATTCGGAGTGATTAGAGAATGATCAGAATTATGAAACGAAAAAGCCGAAAAGAAAATCGTTCAGAATTCCAAGTTCAAAAAGACTATAAAGAGAACGATCGATCATATTAATTTCCAAACTGTTCGATAGTAAATTATGATCTATATAGATATATATCTGACATTATATGTAAAAAAAGTACAAATATATATGGTATTTTAAAAAAGTAGAGCAAGACTAGCTTTTTTTGGGCTACCACATGTTGTTTGTCCTAAAGGTATACGATCTATTGAAATTACATGATAGTTAAAAGCAATTGCAAGTCTAACTATAGGTTTTTACTAACATATTCTTTACGAAAAGAATCTGCACGCATTGATTAGTGGCGTAACGAGAAAAACGCCGGTAGTACGGCGGCGCCGTAGTTTTTTTCAAACATCTGTTTAGGGTACTGTAAGTTGTTTTTTTTACCCCATTTTATACTTTTTCTCGGTGGCACGGTAAAAATTCTCGGTGGTACGGCGCCGCCGTACTGTGGTTACGCCACTAGTATTGATGTGTAAATATGAAGAAGTATGCAGATGAAAAAGTCTACTACTAGAACTGAGCACATACAGTGAAAATATATCTTTTTAAAACCATACATCATCAAAATAGATAACTCAATGTTTTCTTTCAATCGGTACTATCAAAGACTGGTTTTTCGACAGTTGATTATAGATTTCTAAGGTCGAGAATCAAAAATCGCTTAAATAGAAGGATATAAATCGCATTAAATATCAAAATTGTAATCAGCATCAATTTAATCTATAAAAAAAACTCAGTTTCATCCAAAAAAGCGATGATGCACCTGGGGAGCTGTCTACATTAGTTGTCATTCTTAATTCCCTAAACGTGTAATATATTACATTTTCATTTGTCATAGATATGACTATAAAAAGAGTCTAGTGTCGAAATGTGGATGCTGTGTGCTACCACTGCCATTTATAATAAATGATATAGTCAGAATTCATTTATCAAAAAAATTCTTTCAGCAGTAATTGTCTTTTTTTCTTCCGTTTGACATATTCACTTAGTACTAGTCATTCAGTTTTAATCGATTTTCTGTTGTACGAAAGTGCAATACACCATCAAGAAAGGAAAGAAAAAAAATGAAGTAAAGGAAGAAGAAGAAAACCTTGAACATTCTTTTCTTCTTTTCCTTTCCCTTATAACAATATAGGGTATCTAGTATAAAATTACATTCCATCTGTTCGATTATAAAATATCGTCAAGGTCGTCTTTTTTTATTTATTTGACGAAGAAGAAAAAAAAAAGGAAAAAAAAGGTAAATAGAACAGAGAAATACGTCTGCTTATCCGCGAGGAAAAAAGTAACTTCATTAGTAAGAGAACAATAATCATACGTCATCGCATTTCATATTAAATGCGCTAATTGAGAAGAAATAAAAATGTGTTTCCATTTAACGACGGAAATGAAAAACTCAGTGTTAATTAGAAAAAACGTTCGAATGATTCTATTCCATATACTGTTTATCTTAAGGTTAAATATTCTTGCGGCTGAATAACGAACGCGAAAAATATTAAACTTTATAATTGTATCACCAGTATAAATGATCTTTTATTGATATAAATAGAGAGGTCTATATAAATGGTAGCCTTCAAAAACGACGATTAGTTTCAAAAACTTGAAATTGAGATATGTATATATTCGATTAGCTCAGAGTGTCTACTTTTAGAATTTTTATCAAATTTATTACACTTCATCCATCCATCTTCTTCATTGTGATATTACGTACTCAAAACAAAAATTTTCAAAATCTCCAAAGAATAAGGTTTTTTTGAAAGATTATGCTTTCAAAGAGAATACACGAATTTATGTTAATAAATTATTCAAGACTGTCGAGCGAACACTTACTATTTTAAGAATAATGTTCAAGTTAACTCTGGATGAGTTCATCTTCAAGTTCAAGCACGTGGCGTGGTGTCGTACTATATACTCTCTTTTGACTCTAGTGACATCTACAATTCTTCAGTAAGACATTTTGATCTCAATTGTTTTTTCATATGCGTTTATCACAATGATCTATATATTATGTAAAAGTTTATTAAAGATTGAATACATCATGTGTTTTGAAGAGGTCTTCTTCACACGCAAGTTGTCAGTCGTGTATAGCTCTTCATCATATAATTATAATATGTTTTCTGAACTATTGAAAATAAAAAAATGTTTTAAAACAATATGAAGATGAGATATATGACCGTTAGTTCTAATAAACGTTCTTGTTTAAGAAATACCATTATTATCCATACTTATATTATAACAAATTATAGTTGTATTCAGACTATTTTAATGCAAAAAAAAAAAATTTGTATATGTAACGTGTACTTTTGGTCGCTGTAACCTGAAAAAAATAAGTGACGTCTCTTTTGTGATATTACGCACTTTATATTTGTTAGAAACTCATTTTCTTTTATGTTAGAATGATTAGTTACGATGAATGCACAGTTTCATGTTTTCTAATGTAATAGTAGAATATAGTAATAAACAAAAGAAATATATTTATTTATCAGATGTCATAATTAAAACGAAAATTAAATAATAATACTTAAAATTTTAAAATTTTCTTGAAGAACAAAATTATAATCAATGTCCATATAGTAAGGTATCTATAAAAAGTGAGTTTATACACAAAAAAATCGACATATCAAACACAATTCAAGACTAAATCACACCTTTTTTTTATACACGAAAATAAACACTTTTTTTCGTTCGGTTTGTTATCAGTGTTAAATAAAAAACAAATACAATCATAATTTTGAATTTACTATTTTCAGACGTATAAACCAAAACAAAAATCTTGAATGCTGTACTACAATTAATACGTAAAATAAATAAGATAATATTTATGGATTTATGCGTGATTTTTGATGGAATTCAAATAACTTAAATAAATAATTATTGAGATGAAGATTCTAAATCAAAGATGAGAAGTGTAAGAAGAGAGCAGTTGCTTACACGTTTTAATCATACTTGTATAAAACACATGTTTAGAGTATCCATCATTGATTCATTTTGTTAGATGAAAATTTATTAATTAATTGAATAAGAGAAACTGTTTCTGTTTTAGAGTGATATTTTTACTATCATTTTCTTTTTCCTTTAGATCTATAAGACTCTTATAATGTAATAGTAAAAGTTTAGTAATGTATGAACGTAGGAGTATAAGAAGATGGATAGATATAGTTTACGTCTAATATTATATTCATTTTATACTTGAAAGAAGTACACTAATCGTAGACACAACTGATTATATGTCAACATGATTATTAGATAGTTTATCCTCAAATTTACTAGTTTTTCTTTTTCTGTTTTTTTTTTTTTCTTTTTTTTCTTTTTTTTTTTTTTACGCTATGTATAGATATCAGGAATACGGATAAATTCCTAACTCCCAAAAGATATATATTTGTGCACTAAAATTAATGTCGTGTTAACCAGAAATATTTTTGATTAACGTTTCGTTATTACACAAAAAAAGGCTTCTTTTCCATTATACGTATAACAGCTGTTTTCGATGTAATAACTATAGAAGGAAATGAAGTATTGATAGAGACAAAAAGACTTATTCTATTAGTTTGGTATCTCAAACTTTATTGTATTTAACAAGCAAACTTGGCTATATTGAAAAAAAAAACAAACAGGAAATTTTTTTCATATAAATTTTCGAATAAACTACGAGCACACCTCTTTCACTGAAATACCCTCTAGCGTACAAAATGAAGATACAAATTATCCCAAAGATTGTGAAATTATCGAAATATGTTTGAATGCTAGATACCTATCAGTCCTATTTCATTCGATGGTCTTGAACGTATAGATAACATGCTGTTCATTCAATGTGAATACAAGTACTATGTCTTTAGTGAAAATTCATTTGACAATAAATGACTGATTTACTTATATCCTCCATAATCAATCGAGTACATATTATATTTTTTTATATTAAAGTAATTTAATAATATTTCGTTTAATAATTATTTTTAGGTTATCAGCATCATTTATCGAGTTGTTAAGAATGCGTGCGCCTGATGCGCACTCTGCACTGATTGATTATCCACTTCCAAGTGCTCATTCAGCTCGTCTGTACTCTTCCGCAAGTGCTACATCTCTACCAGTTTCTCTCGATTCACCAACATCGCATAATAAAACTGGAGGACGTCGAAATTATCCACAACAGCATACAGCAAATACAGCTACTGAATATGATTTAAATGATTTTGATGATGAAATTAAAAAGGAAGATGAAGAATGGTCGTTAACAAAAGATTCGTCTATAGAAGTCGGTCAGAACAGTAATAATGCAGATGTTGATGATTTATTTTCTGATAGTAATTTCGATGAACAATTATCACTTCAAATCGAAAAAGAATTGGGACTCAATGAACAGCAAACAAATCGGAAAAATGCATGGGGTAATTTGTCTTATGCCGAACTGATAGCAAAAGCTATTGAGAATAGTCAACAGAAACGATTAACATTAGCACAAATATACACGTGGATGGTTAAATATGTACCCTATTTCCGAGATAAAGGTGATAGAAAATCATCGTCAGGATGGAAGGTATGCGTTGAAGTTTTCAAATGTTGTTCATCCGATGTCTATCTAAAACCATAGTAAACAATCTAAAAAAAGGTGTATATATTCGTTGGATGATTTGTGAATTGAATATTAGTATATTCTACATTCTCCAAATGACCTTGAACTTTTAAATCACTTAAAAATTTCAAACTCTTTTTATCTTTTAGAATTCTATTCGTCACAATTTATCGTTGCATAATCGTTTTGTTCGTGTACCAAATGAAATAGCTGGAAAAAGTAGTTGGTGGACAGTTGATCCGAGAGCAAAACAAGTTCGTGGTAGACGACGTATTCAATCATCCGAATGCAGTACGACTACAACAATCACTAAACCTAATATCGATCGACGACGTGTACAAACAGCCAAGTCAACATCATCAGTGACAACTCCTGTCACTCAAGATTTCACAACTCCTACGAGTGGATTCGATGCTATAGATGAACTGTATTTATTTTCTGATGGAGGTACATCTCCTGTACCTTCCTCGTCCTCCGATCATTTACTAAATTCAACATTCGATAATCAGAATCTCGATCAGTTTGACACGTATTTACTCATGCCATTTGAAGCAACTCACTTAGATTTATCAAAAACATCGGAAAATACTTTATTAGAATGTAGTAGTTCAACTAATCGATCACAATGGCTCACATCCGGTAATAGACAAATACGAAAAACTCTGTCTGATTCATCTGCAAATGGAAATAATTATATTAGTTTATCCACTTCTTATTTGGACCGTGCTCTACAACAGAATACACAACAGCAGCGTCCATCACCACAAGTTCAAAAATTAACATCTGTTCGAGATATGAATCGATCATTGTACAATTTGTTGGAATCATCTTCACAAAATGACGATCAGAACAATCTATTTCAACCTTCACCAAAACAAAAAGTGGTGCAACAACAACCACCCACAATGCCACAACAGCAACAACCAACCCAACAAAATGGAAAAATTCTTCATGAAATGTTATCTTCAGCGTTGACACCGCCCACATGCACATCAGATCCAAATTGTTGTACATTAAGTACAAGTAGCGGAAGTAGTAGCGGTTATTCAGGTAAAATATTTATTCACAAAATACTTAATCTCAATTGTTCAACTTATATAATATCTGTCTTTTTCGTTGCAGGAATAGACAGTAATCGCTCATCATCAACATCTTATTTAACAAAATCTCCATTTAGTGATATGCAATCACCTTCATCTAGTCTCATTGATACACCATCTTCACTCTCACCACCCTACGCTCAACAATCTAAACCACCACCACCATCTGTCATTGAAAAAGTTCTCAAAAGTGAACCATTAACACCGAGTGATATGGTATTGACCAATGGTCTAGAACACTTAACATCAGAACATTTACAAAAACTAATGAATATTGATCGATCGAATCCGTTATTTCGGCGTCTTCTAGTCGCTCTACTACGACATAAAATGATAAACAATAGACAACAATCAACTCAAGAACCTATAATGGATTTACAATCGATTAAGAAAGAACTTGACAATTATTTAACATCTCAACATAATTGTTTTCAATCAACAACGCCGTTTAAAAGTGAGCCAATGGACCATAATCATCAACAACATAATCCGTTTCAGCAGCCAATCATGACACAACCACCGTCTTCGACAAACATGACACCGCTTATTCGACACGACTTATTATCACAGCAACAGCAACCATCCTCAATGGAAATCGAGTTATTACCACAACAGAACGAACTTGATTGTGATGTTGAAACAATATTAAATTTTGAACGAAATACATTTGGAGATTGTTCATTCGACATTACAGATTTGCCTAATTTGTGATGTTTCTCTCTGTTGTTCTATTGTACATGTGTTAAGAGTTAGTTTATTCTTTTTTTTCTTTATTTTCCGGTGATCCAAAACATTATTTTTTTCGGTTTTTTCGATAAACTATACATTGTAGAGTCCTTTTATTTTCCTAAAAAAAAAATGATGAAGAAACAAGAGAAGTGGCATGGATGAGAAGAAAATTTGCATTTATTTTTGTGGCACTTTTTATATTTTTACGTGAGATGTAATAAAAAAAAAACGACATACAAAAAAAAATCATGTCACACACAGGTTAATTATATTATGTATACGGTAAATCCTCTGCCATTGGATTTAATTTCAAATATTTTATATTCTTATAATAAAGTTTGTGCACTAAATTCGCAAACATTTCATAGCAAATATTATTTATTCTTCTAGAATAACTTTCTATAAACACAGAATATTCTGAAAATATTGTTTGCAGTGTCGATAAATAAGCTGGTTAGAAATATATAGGTCATAATATGAAGAAAACAAAGCATATCCTCTTTCCAGTCATACAAAGATTTTCGTCTATACGAATAGGTTGTCTATTCCTGTATTTATCTTGATAAAATACATATACTTGATAAGATTTAGATAGAATAAAAAATGAGACAATGTAATGATTTGTATGTGTTGTGTGATGCTATATAACTAACAGAATTTTTTAATCATTCAAGCATTTCTTATGGAATAAATAATTACTTACTGTAATCATTTGATCCTTATGCCAATTATTCACATGAGGTGACGATTGAAAGAAAAAATTTTATATCACAAATTTTACAGCTAGTAGAATGATATTATTTGTCATCCTGCTATTGAAATGATTGTTCTCATAGCAATAACATGAAAGCGATTATACAAGCACGAATATCTACAATGAACACAAAAAATTGAGCAAATAATGCGCCTATATGACAAATTACTGTTTTTACGGTCAAATAAGCGACCATATTAAACAGACACGAATCTACATTTTTTATCACTATTTGCTCATAATTTTCGCACATCCAGTTGAACGACACTTGACATCCTTAACAGTGTCAACTTCCGAAAATGAGGCAGTAGTATAAGAGTGAGAAACGGCTACACGAATTCTGCTGAATACTTAGAATTCGCATGGCATTGTCGAACTTGACACCACTTGTCATTCATCACTACGCCTGGTTTTATAAATGCTCTCTATTGTTAATTCGATAGTGTTAGAAATAAATAAATATTTCACAATTTTACCTTTCATTCAATAAATCACTATATGCAAAATCGATTGATCTCGGATCAGGAAAAAACAAATACTTTGTATACAATTACAAGCTCCATCTTTCAAATTAAATGTAGCAATACAGCAAGTGTAGTTTGGTGTTTTCTATGCTAGATTATATGTCTTAAGCGTTTGTATGATGATAATCAAAACGCAACTAACTGATGTAACTTTTTTATACTGTTTTTAATAATGTAAGGTGCCAAAAGTTCAAGAAATCAGTAAAAAAAATATATTGATAGAGGAAACGCCAAAATACGAGCCCAATTTCATGGTGTTTTTCCTGATTTCGAAAAAATTAAATTTTTCAAAAAGGATATGCCCCTTTTTTTCCTGTAAGTACGTTGACCAGAATGAAGTAAAAGAGAGAATTTTATTTCCTGAATCGTAGATCTAGATAGTTTGCAAAATTGATCACAAACCCCTTTACCATTCTGCTCATATGTCGCCGATTCTGGGTCCATTTTGGCTTTGAAAATTCCCAAAACTAGCTTTCCAGACCCAATTTTGGAACTTTAAAAGATGATCAAACATGAAAATTTTCTTATCATTCAAAAATGTGCTCATTTTTGCCCATTTTTAACAAATCAAGATTTTAAAGTTATTTCACCGCAAAACGTCTTTCGAAAATCTAAAATCAAGTTTTTTCTAGAGAACTCGATGAGTTCTATCCAACTAACACAAAAATTGTGAATTTATTTCTTTACTGATTTCTTAAATTTTCCGTACCTTATCTGAACTTTGATTTTTTCGAAATTTTCCGCTGAAAACTTTAACATTATGTAAGGTCTTTTTCTAAATACATTTTTTTCAATATGTAGCCACAGCTGTTTCGAATAGTGTAAGGATAAATTAGAAATATCAGAACAAGCAAGAAAACATTATCATCAAAATACATAGTTATGATATTGAAAGAAATAAGTAGATTGATAAAAGCTGTACTTGCAGATAATTGTTATCACTTCCTGTATCTGCTTAGGCTTCTAACCAATGTTACAATCAGTAATTTTTAAATTCTTTTCAAAATCGTCGTTCAACCGTCAAAGACGTCCTGCTGTAGATTCTAAATATACTATTGTTATAGACATTGTTTCGTGGCATCTAAAATATCTTTAGATGCCAGGCAAATAATTGCCACGTATACGTTTTTTTTGAAATGTGAATATTTTCTACTAGAATGAACTTCTTTTAAAAGATCAGTATTTGATAAAACATGTGTATGGGAATCTGTACAATTCATATTGTTTATATTCGTTTTATCGACAAACTTATATCACACACATCGGATGAGTTAAGAGGCGCACGCGCGAGAGAGTGATTTTTTGTTGATGACTCGAATCTCACCATAACTCTATTTGCTACAAACGGCCCAGACACCTATATGATAACCATCTTTATAGCAGGATATACTAAAGAGGACGCAAATCTTTGAGCTTAATAAATAACCCGCCAAGCAATACTTTTCCTCTCAAATATGGCGCAGAGGTAGTATGACTTCAAAAAAATTGCCGATGGGAGATATCTGAGAACCCTGGTCTAAACGTATATTATAGCATCATTCTCGTGGCATGCTTAGCCACGTGACCTCTAGGTCTGTACACATGTTTTTCCAAAATCATTTTCCTCCTTCGCTCAAGCACTAGTCGAGAAACTTGTGATTCCACAGACAAGAATCTTGTTCCTTGCCTTTACAGCGCATCTTGTCTGTCGAGGAGGCAAGAAGGTGTTTGCAGACAAGATTTTTATCTTGCCACTTCTGATCAGAATCTTGTTACGTTCTTTCCAAGCAGAAACGTTAGACAATAAGGAGTTTTAAAAAAATTTAAGAAATCCTTTAAATTTTTTTCTGACTTATGATGCATCATTGGATAGCTGAATACGAATGTGGTTTTTAAGTTTTTCAGTCGCTTTTTTCGTGTTAAAAATCCAAAACTCTTTCGTTTTTGTTAACGCTGAGTTTTTCGATTTCTGTTCCAACATGGAATGTTCTAAGTAGTTTTTTCTGATTCAGTATCGAAAACTGAATTAGAAAAT